AGCATGGCCAATGTATTCAACCTTTTCTGGGCCATGTTGTTGAATGTTTATCCTTTTAAGCTTGGAAAAGAGACCCTTAAACCCAGACTTGGACCACAAACCCACTCCACTGAATAGCAGGCTAGTGATTGCTTTGCAACGCTTGCAGTTAGCCAGTGATTCCTTCCAAACCACTCATTGTTGAATTTGCGATTTCCAACTTGTTGTGTAATGTTTATGTCCAATGGCCGATGGGAACCAATGTTTTATCTATAATTTCTCTTCATCATTTCTCTTCATATGACAAGGATTACAAAGGATTTGCCAGTAGATTGTCAACTTGATTCATGATGATGACTGCTAGCTTGCTAGCTAAGATTTTGAAAGTATGATGTTGACATGATCAGTCCAATCAAAGCTACGGTAGATAAACGTGATTTGACATAATTTTATCTGTGGCCAATGACCTTGAGCCTTCTTGGATGGGCACTTCTAATGTAACTCTATGGCAGCACCCAAGGGGCTTGAATTTTCAAGCACTCCCCGTAGATTTAGCGGTGATGTAGCGTCCCCATGAGTGACAAAAGACTGAACCAATCACGGCGCAACTACAGAACATTACCAAACCCTACGCTCTGTATTTTCCGCTGGCTGCCCCACCACCACAGAAAGCACTGAGCTAGGCTGAAACACCTGCATTTTGGAGCTGCCGTACTCAAGAAAGCAAAAAGAGACCATGTTTGTATGCGGCTTTATCAACAACGATTATTATTTTTTACATTGTTTGCAAACTGATATGTAACACATATTAATGCCAAAATAACATGCAAAACAGGCAACAAAAAATGTTTTGTCTCAAACCATCAGAGGGAAACAAGGAGAGGATTCAAGGACCTTACAAGCGAAGTATCAAGATTGGTGAAGAAGGATCCTTGGACATTCTCCTCGCTTCCCTCTGACATTTTGAGGAGGCGGGAAGAAGACGGATGAGAGAAACAAGGAATTGAGGAAAGACTTGAGAATGAGCTCAGCCTATCTACTCCCAGCTCATGTCAACATGATGTCTGTGACCTCTGAGAAGACTCCTGAGTGGCGCAGTGGTCTAAGGCACTGCATCGCAGTGCTAACTGTGCCACTAGAGATCCTGGTTCGAATCCAGGCTCTGTCGCAGCCGGCCGCGACCGGGAGACTCATGGGCGGCACACAATTGGCCCAGCGTCATCCAGGGTAGGGGAGGGAATGGCCGGCAGGGATGTAGCTCAGTTGATAGAGCATGGCATTTGCAACGCCAGGGTTGTGGGTTTGATTCCCACGGGGGGCCAGTATAAAAAAAATATGTATTCACTAACTGTAAGTCGCTCTGGATAAGAGCGTCTGCTAAATGACTAAAATGTAAGACAGACAGGTAGAGAACAAGAGTGATAGATAGAGACAGATGGCCAGAGAGAAAAGAGTGTGTGTGTGACTTGCAGACTTGCAGCAGTGTCCTCCTCATTAATCACAGAGAAGACAGGGACCAAGAGACTTGTCCTATATCTCTGACACACACAGGAATACACAGTCCGCCTTAAGGTTACACACAGGAGTATACAGTCCGCCTTAAATAAGGTTTCAATACTGCCCTAAATAGGCGTAGGCTAGTGTCACCTTCAATGAGAACAGGACTGGAAAGCTTTAAATAAGACTTAAGAAAGGCCAGACAGACACACTATCATTAGCTTTAGGGCACGTGTCAAACTCATTCCACGGAGGGCCGAGTGTCTGCTGGTTTTCGCCCCTCCCTTGTACTTGATTGATGAATGAAGGTCATTAATTAATAAGGAACTCCCCTCACCTGGTTGTCTAGGTCTTAATTGAAAGGAAAAACCAGCAGACACTAGGCCCTCCATGGAATGAGTTTGACACCCCTGCTTTAGGGGAACAGTTACACTAGCATAATATAGCCATGTTAATCAAACAACACACTAGCATACCACCTAGAGGCAATCTACTGGACGTGCATTCTTAGGGCTAGCAAGACATTGGGTCACCTTGATTTAATCAGACCGAGTGTTAAACCTCGTTAGCAGACATCCACATAGTGGATGTTTTGGAAGTGTAACTGCGGTATGAGCTGACAAATAGGTGAGTGGCTGCTGGTGTCACAAACCACTCCCGTCTTATCCCTACCGAGTTAGAAGTTCAAAACTGAGATAGAAAGTGTAGTCTTATGCATGCTTTCATGTACATTTAGATGGGGGATGTATAGCCTATCAGTCTAATCGAGGTGTAGACAACAGAACATCACACAATCACGTTTTTGAACTTGTAATGCGGCTGCATGAACTTTAACGCCGCTGCATGGAATTTGTCGGAATATAAAGTTGGGTGGTTTCGTTGCATCCAATGGCAGTGTCCGCGAAAAGCCAGCGCTAGGAGACACTTCTGGATTCGACAGCTCCAACGCAGTTCCACCTCCAACACTGCCAAAACAACCGCTGTGTGGGTGTCGGCTAGCGCAGATCTGATATAATCTAGCCCCTAGTTTTTTACAAAAGAGACACGGAGACAAACCGGTGCTGAAATAGTATTTTTATTAAATACTTTCAAGATCCAAGTTTTGAAGAATAACAAAGCTATGATAAAGGACCTACTAACAATCAGACAAACATTTGATCGTCCTCAATTTATGGTTTTATTTTACCGTACATCATGATCATGCAAAAAACTCCAGCATCCAACAACTGCTGGGGAAAGAAAGCGCAGCCCGACAGGTTAACATCACAACGCAGGGAGAGTACTAACAATGAGCTTCACACCAAGCTAAGGCTCCTCAATACTTTTTGTAATTAAATAGTATTTTGTGTTTATTTTATTATCTCATGTCACCTATTTAATATTCTGGACGGAGGCCGAGTTTTTTTAAAAATATTTTTCTTCATTTCAAAAGATGCAAATATAATATAGTTATTATATACCCTATCTTCCGTCCTAGTTCAGGTAGGTGAATGGTGGAGATGCTTAAACTGAAACATGCATACATCGCTCTCTGGTTTAAATCCATAAATACTTCACTGATCACTCTTCTCTCCACCTGAATGGGCAATATAAAGACTAAAATTCCACTGATTAGATGAAATAAAATTAATAAATGTACTGTTAATCAATAAAAATGCAGTTGTCTCCTTGTTTACCCTCCATTTCCTGTGTGTGTGTGTGTGTGTCATAACAGATTTCTATCCTCAACAACTGCTCTGAATTCAGCCCCTTCCATCCCGGTTATATTCCAACCAGCTAGTCTGATCAGTTCAATAGTTGGCGTAACTTTAGTGTGTGTGTGCGCCTGTATAGAATGCAGAACTTTCCAAAAAGCAGAGAGTAAAAAAACAAAAAAATAACATTGTCAACAAAACCCAAACCAGCAAACAGAGACACACACATATACACTCAGACACACATTCACACAGATAAACAGACCGCTCAAACAGAGGGAGAGACAGTTACTAATCGAGGGATACCGCACTAAGAACGGTTGAAAACGCAAACACTGCCAGGGTTTCACCATTGACACAGTGCAGTGGTAAAGATATGTTACAAAGCCTGACACACCACAGTGTGTGTGGGTGTGAGCAAGTGTGTACACGATATGTATTTACACAGGATATATGAGACTGGCAGCACAGGACATCGGGTTGGAATAAGAATTTGGGAGGTGTATGTGTTGGTATGCATGTGTGTGTGTGTGTATAGAGGTCATCTCAAAATGGTGTCAGGAACATGGCCATGGGACTAGAGCTGGTGTATGTGTTAGACAAATGTCCACCCCTTTGTCATGCACTCTGAGTGACTCTCTTAGACATATGTACATGATATGTACATGATAGATATATAAATCACACACACCATCTATACACAGCCAGAGGGTGGGAGTGAGAAACGGAGAAGGGGTGAGAAAAGGGAGAGAAGGAGGCTTAGAAATACAGAAAAAATAAGGGCAAGAAAGGGAGAGAGAGGAAGAAGGAAAACATGCAAAATGCAGACGCCTTTTCCCAAAATTCCCTTTCTCCCACTGCAGACAGATAAAACAGACAGACAGACAGGAGGTACACGTCGCAGATTCACTTTGACAATAAAACCCATTTTTAAAACTCAGTCGCTTAAAATGAACTCAGTCAGACTCAGTCCACAGAAACGCAACATAAACACAAGGCTAAAAACACAACAGAAACACAATGCTCTCGAATGCACCCCCTACCTGCTCTTCTCTCCAAAAACAAACAAAACAACAAAAAACTACAAACGCGTACAAAGCCTAAAGTTCTACTTTGGTGCTGCACCTTTTGATATCAAGTTTCTTGCATCAGGTTCTTACATTTCTGATTGAACCGACTGTCCTTCCATATAGAATTCTGCTAGAGAATTCATCATTTACATTCTCTGGGAAACAGAGAAATCCTGCTCCGGAGATATAACTTTATCAACATGTCATCTACTACCATCACACACTCTCCTCTCATCGTATATATATATATATATAAATGCTTGTTAGGGTTGGGTGTTGTCTGGTACTAGTAATATATTACACTGTATAGTCATAACTCATTCTCATAACTGTCATCACAAGTTCATGAACCCCTTCCTCCCCACTCCTCATCTCATCTCAAAATGGCTGCCATGGACGGGAGACAAAATGGCTGCCGGGTGGGAGGGGTCAGAGGTCAAAGGACGAGCCCTCCTATTGGCCGTCAGATGCATGCATCATCCCACAGGGGCGGAGTCCACACTTGGCCGGCCCCCAGCAGATCAAAAGAGAGACTGGATTGGTTGGTGTTGTGGAGAGGGTGCAGTCTTGCCCGGCCAGGCTCCTGGCAATGGCCAACCCACAAAGAGGACACGCCCCCCAAAAAGCCGAAAACACGCCCCAAAACTCACACTCCAATAGCCTGGAGCGTTTGGACACCTGAGGGAGAAAGAGAGAGGGAGCAAACTTCTAACCCTTTGAATGTTTTAAAGTGTGTGTGTGTTTGTGTGTACGTACCAGTTCACTGCAGCGGTGCGGCCGGAGCCCCAGAGCAGTGGAAGTGGACGTTGAGCCACTTGCTGTCGCGGCGATGCCACACCCTGGTCTCTTCCGATTGGCTGGAGCGGGGGCGTCCCTGACTGTCGACGAATTGCGTGAGGCGGATGTAGGCGATGCAGGCAGCCTCCTCTCCAATCAGGTGAACGTGGGGGTTCAGCAGGGTGGTGTGGACCGGCTTACTGTTCTTACTCAGCACTGTAGGAACACACACAAAGATAAAACATGTTTGGATCTTTCTGCTGAACTCGTATGTATGTATGTACAGTGCATTCGCAAATTATTCAGACCCCTGGACTTTTTCCACATTTTGTTACGTTACAGCCTAAAATTGATTATATTGTTTTTTTCCCCCTCATCAACCTTCACACAATAACCAATAATGACAAAGCAAAACAGGTTTGTAGAATATTTTTCTAATTTATTAAAAATACAAAATACAAGTATTCAGACCCTTTACTCAGCACTTTCTTGAAGCACATTTGGCAGTGATTACAGCCTAGAGTCTTCTTGGGTATGACACTACAAGCTTGGCACACCTGTATTTGGGAAGTTTCTCCCATTCTTCTCTGCAGATCCTCTCAAGCTCTGTCAGGTTGGATGGGGAGCGTCGCTGCACAGCTATTTTCAGGTCTCTCCAGAGATGTTCGATCAGCTTCAAGTCCGGGCTCTGGCTGGGCCACTCAAGGACATTCAGACTTGTCCCAAAGCCACTCCTGCGTTGTCTTGACTGTTTGCTTAGGGTCGTTGTCCTTTTGGAAGGTGAACCTTCGCCCCAGTGGAAGGTCCTGAGCGCTCTGGAGCAGGTTTTCATCAAGGATTTCTATGTACTCTATGTACCACAGCATGATGCTGCCACCACCATGCTTCACCGTAGGGATGGTGCCAGGTTTCCTCCAGACGTGACACTTGGCATTCAGGCCAAGGAGTTCAATCTTGGTTTCATCAGACCAGAGAATCTTGTTTCTCATTGTCTGAAAGTCCTTTAGGTGCCGTTTGGCAAACTCCAAGCGGGCTGTCATGTGCCTTTTACTGTCTGGCCACTCTACCATAAAGGCCTGATTGGTGGAGTGCTGCAGAGTTGGGATAACCTTCCAGAAGGACAACCATCTCCACAGAGGAACTCTAGAGCTCTGTCAGAGTGACCATCAGGTTCTTGGTCACCTCCCTGACCAAGGCCCTTCTCCCCCGATTGCTCAGTTTGGCCGGGCGGCCAGTTCTAGGAAGAGTCTTGGTGGTTCCAAACTTCTTCCATTTAAGAATGATGTAGCCCACTGTTCTTGGGGATCTTAAATTCTGCAGAATTTGTTGGTACCCTTCACCAGATCTGTGCCTCGACACAATCCTGTCTCGGAGCTCTACGGACAATTCCTTCGACCTCACGGCTTGGTTTTTGCTCTGACATGCACTGTCAACTCTGGGACCTTTATATAGACAGGTGTGTGCCTTTCCAAATCATGTCCAATCAATTCAATTTACCACAGGTGGAACGCCAATCAAGTTGTAGAAACATCTCAAGGATGATCAATGGAAACAGGATGTACTGGAGCTCAATTTCGAGTCTCATAGCAAAAGGGTCTGAATACTTATGTAAATTAGGTATCTGTTTTTTATGTTTAATACATTTGCAAACATTTCTAAAAACCTGTTTTTGCTTTGTCATTATGTAGATTGATGTGGGAAAAAAAACAATTTAATCAATTTTAGAATAAGGCTGTAACGTAAACAAAATGTGGAAAAAGTCAAGGGGTCTGAATACTTGTACTGTATGTGACAGAACGAAAGTGAGAGACTCACGGTTTTCAAAGTAGAACTTGTGGAAGTCCATGCCCTCCACCAGGTTCCCCAGAGCTTCAGGCTCAAAGGAGGTTAGACCTGGATCACATATCCTCCTGATGCGGGGAGGAGAAGAGCGAGCAAGAGAGAAAGAGACAGAAAGAGAGAGAGAAACAATGTTAGGCTAATGATAGTAATTCAGTAATTATACGTGCGAAACGATGTAGTTGTACTCACGTGTAGGCCTCAAAGTCTCCATTGTTCACGGCTTCAATCAGCTGTTCAGTTATCTTGATGATCTCCTGCTTACGAGCTAGAGGGAGAGAGAGAGAGAAAGAACAATAGAGGGAGAGAGAAAGAAAAAAGAGATGGAAATTCTGCAGTCTAGCTAAATAGGAGCTACTTTACTACTCACCCTCCACTATAGCTGTACTGTCTCCCCTCGCTCTTTTTCTCTGTCTTCACACTCTCTCTACCACTCTCCTTTCTCTCTCTGACAGCTAACAATGGACAACTCCATACTAGTGTGTGCTCCAACTCTGTCATGAGTTTGTGTGTCTGTTCTCTTACACTGAAGTGTGTGTGTTGAAGTGTGTCTGAAGTGTGTGTTACTATGTGGTGTGCACATCTCCCTTGTGTGAGTGTATGTAACGGTGTCTCTCTCGCTCTCTGTGTGTTCTTACTGTGCTGTGTGGTGGTATTGACTGTGACAGGGACAGTGTTGCTCCCTAGCAGAGCGGCAGGGGGAGCAGACTGAGCATGCCCCGACTCGGGGTTGGAGCCTTGATCAGAGCTGTTCCACGCCATGCACTTTACATCATGCAGAGGAACAGCTGGAACACACAACGCATGGTCAACACACACAGACACGTGCACACATGCCGCACACACACACATACACATGCAGTTAGACACATGCATACCACTTATACACACACACAACATGAAGGAACAGTAATGATGGATGTTAGTTCGTTAAGATATTGAAACAGACAGACCGTTTGGGGGGTGGGGGGGATGGAGGGGCTATGAGAAGCTCAGCTGATGGGGAAGAAATGTACTGACTAGATCATGATATTAAACTACATGTCCCTTCATTCCCTGCTCTACTTTACTCTATTATATTCTACCACAGTGCAGAAACACGCTTCTCTCTATGAAATGTAGAGAGCCTGTATGAGCACTGGCCAATAGGAGAGCAGCGTTTTGAGAGAAAAAAGAAAAGAAAAAAAGAGAGCAGGTCAACTCTGTGAGGGAGGAAGAGGACGAGAGAGAAGGATAACACTAGAACACCGGAAGAGGAAGAGAGAGAAGGATAACACTAGAACACCGGAAGAGGAAGAGAGAGAAGGATAACACTAGAACACAGGAAGAGGAAGAGAGGGAAGGATAACACTAGAACACAGGAAGAGGAAGAGAGAGGAATAAGAGTAGGAGACTCTTCTCCTTCACCATCCCCTGATGGAGAGAGACACACAACTGTAGGAAAAGGAGTGGGGGGCACTCTTATCCCGTTTCTCAGGACGCAGTGAAGATGGATAAAGAGAGACTATGAATACCAAACCAACCCCTCGGCCCAACCAACTCGCTCTGAGGGCCCTCCGGTTGTCACGTGTTTGACAAAACTCAGGAGGGTGACTTTCAGAGTGGTGAAAAATCAAATAAAGCCATCAACTTCGGGACACACTCATTAATTAAATGATGCAATTCATGTTTTACACTTAAATAATAAAACAAGCATTAATTTAAAAAAAATACAAATTCCCCTTGTTGTTTTATAATATATAAACTTCAGTAACAGTGAAATATTTACATTTGGGAGGTATTACATTTTGTCACGTGGCAAGCCTTGAAATCAGACAAACGAATGCAAGGGACATATAATTAGGCACACCTCCATTCTTTTGTATGAAATCGAAGTGTCTATCTTAAGCGTCCAATTAGCCCCTAAATCCTCTATAATTTTCACTCCCTGAGCAGAGCAAGGATCTTTTTCAGCAGCAGTGGTAGACGTAGAGGTGGTGGGGGTGGGGGTCTTCCTGGGGCAGTATGTTTTTTGTTGTTTGTTGCACGACTGAAGGTTACTTCTGCCGACTTTTTTCAAAAGGAAAATCTACTCCAAAATGCATAAATGTAATTGTTATCCTTCTTTGAAACTCATCTGAAAATCGAGGAGTTACATTTTATCTGTTCATCTCAATGACATCACCAGCCGATCCCATCTCAACTCCCCAAATAATTTTGCTAGCGTAACGTTAATGTATCTTAGCTAATCATTAGGGCTGGGAATTGCCAGGGACCTCACGATACAATATTATCAAGATACTTAGGTGCCAATATGATTTGTATAGCGATTTGATACTGCTATTTTATTTTGCGATTTGATGTTCCAAACATATTGCTCACTACATGTCTGCTGCAGAGAGATAAGAGAAAGCATGAGAAAACGACTTTTGATCAGTCAGGGAAATAAAAGTGCTGAAATATGTTGGCTCACTATTAAAAAAAGAAAACAAGCTATATCGTCCAAAAGTAATATTGCAACATGTAACTGTATTGATTCCCCCACCCCCTCCACTAATTTACATACATCTCTTAATAGGGTTGGCTACCCTTCCAGGATCACAAGCTAGCTAGCTAGTTACCATGGAGGTTTCTCTGACAATCTGGTGAGAATCTGAGGAAGATTTGGAACTTGTAGCAACTTGTCACTCATCTTAAAAGCGTGTCTTGGCAGATTTTTTTTTGCTAAATGTCTATAGTGGAAACACTGCTCAGCTTTGGGGCACTTGTGCATGTGGTGGAGGCAAGTATGAACTTGCAAATGGAGGGCAGAGGGGCGAAAGTAAGGGGAAGGGACTGGTTTGGGATTCAGCAAGAAAAAAGGGTATAGAGGAGATGTTCCCAATGTTGGATGCTAGGAAAAAAAGAGGGCTAGACATACACACACAGGTCGGAGATGCACAGTGGAAAAGAGGCACAAAGGTCAGGGGTCAGGAAGTGTGGGGTCTTTGCCAGGGACGACCCCGAAAGGTTGTGGTTGCCGTGAAAACACTTACTGGCAGGCGAGTTGTCAGACGATGTCAGTAGGGAGGGCATCTCCTCTGTAGCACTGCCCTGACTCATCATCACAACGCTGTCCGCTAGATAAGAACACACATGGACACAGGCACACACAAACACATAGGCACGCACGTACACACACACATACACGGGTGAGTCACACACACAAACCTTAGCAAACTGCTAACTATCGAGCACAGGCAGATCATCCCTATCAGAATCTATATGGTTAGATCACAGAGAGAGAACAAAGCAAAAGGAGAGAGAAGAGCAGCCAAGCGGGGAAGAGACAAAGATTGAGTAATTTCCCTACCTTTCATATCCTCATCCTCATTTGTGTTGCAACTCTCTGTAGAACCCTAGAGAGAGAGAGCGAGAGATTAACAACACATAAATTAACAACATATGATTAAGACTCACCACCTCTGCACACAAACACCCTTACCTTGATCCCATCAGCAGCAACCACTGTATTTTGAGATTCCTGGTAGAAGGGGAGCATAGAGTTAATGAAAAAGGTCTGGTTACACACACAGGTCTGTACAAGTGCCTGGGGGTTAGGGTTTGAGTTGATATTAAGATGTAGGCTGGTGTGGGAAGGGGTTAGAGGTTTGTGAAGGGTCAAACATGAAACAATCTTAGACTCCAGCACACACAGACAAAAGACCACTAGGAAGAGAATGGAGGTTAGGGGGCGAGTTAGGGTTCTAGGAAGGGAGACACGATGAGGGTAATGGAGGGAGGCGAGGAGACCAGGAGGAGGGGAAAGGGGGACGAGAGGAGGTTAAGTTTCTGTACCATCTGTGAGGCAGCCATGCTGTTGTCCTTCATGGCATTGATGGCGCTCACGATGCTGTTCTTACTGTTGTTGTTGGTCGTGGGCTGAGACACACAACAAAATTAACTAACTGAAGAGAGTAATATCTTAATTTCTCTTATAAATACAACAGCCTTTAATTCTCCACTAAATCAAGTAATCAAATAAAATAATCTCTTCACTACCCATGTGAGCCAAAGAGAGAGAGAGGGGGGTAGAGAGGAAGAGGGAGAGAGTGTGACAGCTACATGACATCAGATTTAACCCATTACCTTAGCAGCATCCGCATTCTTGTTAAGTAAACTTTTGCATGCTGTAAAGAGAGGGGAATAAAGCATAAGAATAGAGTTGCACTGGACTTCAAACATCTCTCCAGTCACTTCACTCACATTCATTCAACCTGGTCCCCACATTATGCAACACACCAGTCAAGCAACAACCACTCCTAGACTGCAGTCTGATTCTCTACACCTTCTGCCGGCAGTGTGTACTTAATAACTACATTTTCATGGATTTAAAAGCATTGGATTGGTGTAAATATGGACTAAAGGCGTTTTCCACCATATTCCTGACACCAGAGACATTCTATTCCACAAAGGGGAGTGAACAAGTGCACACTTCAGGGGGAATGGAAGAGAAGAGACAGGCGGATGATAAGTCAGGTTAATGTAAACTATTGATTTCTTTTAGGAGGCTCCAGTCAGTCAGTCCTCTCACTCTGGTCTCATCTAAAGCTCTTCACTTTGCTGCTGTCACTACTGCTTTTAAAAGTATTACTGGCACACACACAATTCTGAGATGAATGCATTCTCTTGGGGTTCCTTACCTTCCGTTAACAAGTAGGAGAGAGGAGGAAGAAAAGAGATGGAAAGAGAAGTCTCAGTGGAGCATTATCAGTGAGAAAGAAGGAGGGAGGGAGGGAGGGAGGCAGATGTTTTAGGCAGCTGGCATCAGTTGTCAGTGGTGGTTTGTGCACTGCTGGTGTGTGTGTGTTCTTACTGTGCTGTGTGGCGGTATTGACAGGGACAGTGCTGCTCCCTAGCGGAGCGGCGGGTGGAGCAGACTGAGCTGCTCCGAACTTGGGGTTGCAGCCTTGATCAGAGCTGTTCCATGCCATGCACTTTACATCATGCAGAGGAACGGCTGGAACACACAGCGGACCAGCCATGCAGCATCCACATCAACTACAGTTCCCAAGGTGCATAGCTTCCATTCAGCAAACAGCAGAACAGAGCTGGGCCTTGATTGATTAACCTTTGACACCTGCCACGTCTTCTACCCAGCTACCCACAGGGCGGGCAAGCATGGTCCCCAGTCCAACATCTTCAAAATGCATCCTCCCCTAACTTCCTCAACATAGTCGCAATCGGACATATTGGTCGCGCCCCAAGCCGACTACATTGCAATGTTGCATTGCATCAACCAATGGCTGCATGCCACATCCTCACAGTCCAGCATCAGATTAGCTGACATGATAAACACCTGAGATATGGCAGGCAGGCATTTGCAATGCAGTTAGCCTAGAACGTGGCCATTGTCTAATAACATCTTCCCTTTCAACTGTCCAGTCACCTCAGATTAGTGGCTATTTCAAGGAAGACAGGAAGGGAGGAAGTAACTTGTAAGTGTCCAAGTGTGCACTCATACCAGTCCAATCCTTTTACATCTGGGAGGGAAAGTGAACAAGTGCACACTTCAGGGAGATGGGAAGGGAAACGGATTGTATAGGGAATACAAGTCCACATGCAGCAAGGCAACACAGCCACATTGTTCACACTTGACATCTTGTATTGACTGTAATTTGTCTGGGCTACAGTGTGACGATGTGATTGGGTAAGACAGAGCGTCATAAGCAGAGAGCAAAGTCCGCCTCAGCCATACACAGTGGAAGGGAGGGGCAAGCAGTGACATCGCGGGGAGGCTAAGCTGCAGATGCCTTTCATAGGGCGATGATGTCATCAGTCTTCAGGACTTACTGGCAGGCGATTGGTCCACTCTCAGAGGAGAGCCCTGTGATTGGAGGGTTCTAGCATACAGCAATGTCAATCATCCTCATGCAGAACCACAGAGCACCAATCACACACTCAGGGGAGACACCAACTCCTGCCCCTTTCTTATTGGTTCAACACTACTATTACCCTACATCCTAGAGACACTTGTGTAGATCTGAAAGGATTTGATAGGTGTAAATAATATGGTAGTAGCTCCACTTTGCCCTATGATAGGCTGGGTGGAATTCGCTATATTGCTTGCACCTATCCAACCATTCCAGAGCCTTTCAGAAACATTATACTGTTTCCAAGTCCGCATGGGATCGCTGACCTTAGTCCACCCACTCTCCCCCCTCTTTACCCAGGTCAGACGATGGCAGCATGCCTCCCCTGCTCCTGTCCATCCCCCAGTCAGTCAGTCGCCACAGATACACGCCCCCCCCCCCCCCCCCCCATCCCTCCCCCCCAACCCCCTCTCATGGCCGTAACCAAAGGAGGAGGGTGGGGAGGGGGAGTTGATATGGTAAGGCTAATACATTTGATGATTTCTGATGTTGATATGAGGCTGAGTGGTATTGTTGACAGAGTATGTGTAGTTTTAGATGTGTTTAGCCTGTGTCCATGGTATTAGCGTCATCCTTAAAAACATCCATATGGTCTCACGTGAGTGTGTGCGTGTGTGTGTGTTTGAGGCTAGTGTGAGCTGCATTCAAGAAAGAAAGGGGCCAGATAACCTGGTGATCCTCTTTAGAAGTAAAAAAATACATGGTGCTCCCTTATAGAATGAAGTGGGAGGGGCTTAGACAGGAAGCATGAAGTGTGTGTAGAGGAAGTAAGAGGGCGTGTCTCTGTGACGTACCTTCCTGCGCCAGCGAGGCGGCGGAGGACACAGCAGCAGGGTTGGTATGCTGCCGGCCCACTATTGGACAGAAATACTCAGGTTGGGAGGAGCTATTCAAATCTAGGCTGGCCTAACCCAATACAGTGACCAATCTCAAATGACACCCTATTGTCCATATAGTAGCCAAAAGTAGTGCACTATACGAGGAGTAGGATGCCATTTAGGACGCAAATATCCTTTTCCTTTAAGGCCAGGTCTTCACCCTAGGGATGTGCATCTTTCCATTTCAAGACGATCCGACACACATCTAGATACATGTGCTCCAATACGTTTTAGTTTGAAACAATCAGATTTGATTAGAGAGCAAATCGAGGCGATTAGGTTCGATGCACTAACATTTGTTGCATAAACACATTCATTTTCCATTCTAAATTAAAATCTGCTGCGGATGGATCTCCTGAACTTTGGCCTCTCTGACCTGGATCTGTCTGAGCGGACTTCTCTGTCTGTGTGCGTGTGCAAATGATGCATGTCTATGGTGTATGTATATGTAGGCACCTGAGATATGAGCCATAAGACTAGGCATCTACCACCCCACTATCAGATTAAGGGGGGGGGGGCAATGTAGCCAATGTTTTGTGTCCCCCCACTTTGGTTCTGAAATCACCATCACCCACTAATTAACTTATTTGCAGATTATGTTTTTGAGCTAGTAATGTATCAATATTTATCATTTACAAATTAGCTATGAGATCGCCAATTAATATATAGCACAACTTTGGATTCCACCCTCATCTCAAAATCTAATGGTTTTGACCATTTGGACGACGTTTTTAGTGAGCTTCTTTTCTCCTCCCGCTTTCGCCATGCGGTGCCTCGCAAAGTGATTGCTGTCTTCGTTATGAAATTATCAACTTCACCCTGTATATCTAAAAATGACCATACACACTGATTGTTTAAAGCAAAACTACCAAAACTATTACTGATGAACCTGAACAATCAAAATAAAATATATTGTAAGCCCCATTCAGCAGATGAGAGTTGTGTCTCAGGTAGCTTACTTTTATTCCGGTAAAACATATTTTTTTAACAGCGCATAGATAACAATAAGCTAGCAAATTACATAGGTTGTCACTTAACTAATAAAGCCTAATATCACGCAAGCCATTTTAGCATTTGAATGCTTTGGGTGCCGCGCAAATGTGCAAGATCAGGAACAGGCCGCCTACCGTGCGAAGCTGGGCACAGTGCACAGTTTGACTAGGCTACTGATATTGCCTGTGCTTGTTCGGCATGCAAAATGACTTGTAGATCAATGACTGTCAACGCAATTACATGCTTAGTTCGACACTGAAGGAGAGGATGCATCAGTTGTAGAAAGAAACTAATATGAGCAAAAAACGCGTAACGCTTGAATCGATTTTCTGCCTGATGCATGATACATTTGGATCGGTTTGGGATCCGTGGACCGATGCAGTCCTATGTTAAACATTAGAATCGGTAACCGATGCCTATTGGTGAATCCTTACATCCCTACTTCTTCCCTAATCATCTTAAGTAGCAGAAGAGTGAAAGTAGAGCCTTAAATAGTGCCCTTTGTCACACCACACAGACATCCACCACACTACAGCAATCCTGAGTGAACCTTACACAACCTCTAAGGCTCTGTCACGCACACACCCACTCTAGAGCCGGCAAGGGGAGGGAGAGGGGCGTTAGAGACATAGATATAGAACACACAGAATCTAAAAACACAGTAATGCTGGAAATACTACATTCTGAAATTCTAGAATCAATGACCTCCTTCTAGCACCTCCTTGTACTGACACCTTATGACATCTGGTCAGAACTTGCAGAGGAGCTCCTTTCACCTACTCCTCTCCTTCAGAACATGTGTCCTGAACACACACTTCGTTGAGTACTCACACACACACTTGGCCTAAAAACCTACATTAGGTGGACTCCACCGAGGAGTAGAGGGAAGGAGGGAGTAGAGCTCCATCTGTCCTCCCCCCTCACTCTGTAACTGGAGCGAGGGAGGAAACACACCCACCTGAGAAGGTTCTGGACACCAGCATGGTGGTGAGGATCGCTCCCTAGGAAAGGAAAGACAGAGAGAGAGAAAGGAGAGATGAGTAATAAAGACAGATGATAGGAAAAGGGGAGTTAAAAGGGGGGGGGTAATGAGGAGAAAAGGAGAGAGAAGGATGTGGTCTAGGAGGAGAGGTTTATAGGGAGCAGAAGGATGAGTGTAAATAAAGAAGGAATAGAGAAAGATGAGAAAAGGAGGTATAGAGAAGAGGTGTAGAGTGAGCCAGAGGAGAAGGTGAGGTGTAGGGGTAGAGGAGGTGGTGAGGTGTAGGGGTAGAGGAGGTGGTGAGGTGTAGGGGTAGAGGAGGTGGTGAGGTGTAGGGGTAGAGGAGAAGGTGAGGTGTAGGGGTAGAGGAGAAGGTGAGGTGTAGGGGTAGAGGAGGTGGTGAGGTGTAGGGGTAGAGGAGAAGGTGAGGTGTAGGGGTAGAGGAGAAGGTGAGGTGTAGGGGTAGAGGAGAAGGTGAGATGTAGGGGTAGAGGAGAAGGTGAGGTGTAGGGGTAGAGGAGAAGGTGAGGTGTAGGGGTAGAGGAGAAGGTGAGGTGTAGGGGTAGAGGAGAAGGTGAGGTGTAGGGGTAGAGAAGAAGAGGAGGAGCGATGTAAGGTGTGGGGGTAGTGGTAGTAGCAGTAGTGTACCTTGAGCTTCCTCCGAGCGTTGAACTTGCGCAGACATTCCACTGTCTCCTGTCTGTGGATCATAGACGCCACGGTGGAACGTTGCTATAGGAGGGGAGAGAGAAGTATTACACAATTAGGGTTGCAAAACTACCGGTAATTTACCAAAGTTACCGGAATTTATAATCATCTATGGCAATTTGGGAAATGTATAGTGGAATATTTATGAAAAATGTATTCATATATAATATTACGTTTTTATATCTGTGTCCATATTGTCCATGGTTATCTAATAGGCCATATGGTTCAAGAGAAAATAGCCTAAATCATCTAATCAAAAATTGCATTATTTTCAATTAACTCCGCAACTCTTCCAACTATTGACTTTTTTCAAAACTGCCACCAGTTTGGCACCAAAACATGTACAACAAAGACATATTTACATATTTATTGTACTAAGTGTGTAAAACAAATACACTGCTCAAAAAAATAAAGGGAACACTTAAACACAATGTAACTCCAAGTCAATCACACTTCTGTGAAATCAAACTGTCCACTTAGAAAGCAACACTGATTGACAATAAATTTCACATGCTGTTGTGCAAATGGAATAGACAACAGGTGGAAATTATAGGCAATTAGCAAGACACCCCCAATAAAGGAGTGGTTCTGCAGGTGGTGACCACAGACCACTTCTCAGTTCCTATGCTTCCTGGCTGATGTTTTGGTCACTTTTGAATGCTGGCGGTGCTTTCACACTAGTGGTAGCATGAGACGGAGTCTACAACCCACACAAGTGGCTCAGGTAGTGCAGCTCATCCAGGATGGCACATCAATGCGAGCTGTGGAAGAAGGTTTGCTGTGTCTGTCAGCGTAGTGTCCAGAGCATGGAGGCGCTACCAGGAGACAGGCCAGTACATCAGGAGACGTGGAGGAGGTCGTAGGAGGGCAACAACCAGCAGCAGGACCGCTACCTCCACCTTTGTGCAAGGAGGAGGACTGCCAGAGCCCTGCAAAATGACCTCCAGCAGGCCACAAATGTGCATGTGTCTGCTCAAACGGTCAGAAACAGACTCCATGAGGGTGGTATGAGGGCCCGACGTCCACAGGTGGGGGTTGTGCTTACAGCCCAACACCGTGCAGGACGTTTGGCATTTGCCAGAGAACACCAAGATTGGCAAATTCGCCACTGGCGCCCTGTGCTCTTCACAGATGAAAGCAGGTTCACACTGAGCACGTGACAGAGTCTGGAGACGCCGTGGAGAACGTTCTGCTGCCTGCAACATCCTCCAGCATGACCGGTTTGGCGGTGGGTCAGTCATGGTGTGGGGTGGCATTTCTTTGGGGGGCCGCACAGCCCTCCATGTGCTCGCCAGAGGTAGCCCGACTGCCATTAGGTACCGAGATGAGATCCTCAGACCCCTTGTGAGACCATATGCTGGTGCGGTTGGCCCTGGGTTCCTCCTAATGCAAGACAATGCTAGACCTCATATTATTATTATTATTATTATATTATTATGTGGCTGGAGTGTGTCAGCAGTTCCTGCAAGAGGAAGGCATTGATGCTATGGACTGGCCTGCGCGTTCCCCAGACCTGAATCCAATTGAGCACATCATGTCTCGTTGCACCACAGACTGTCCAGGAGTTGGCGGATGCTTTAGTCCAGGTCTGGGAGGAGATCCCTCAGGAGACCATCCGCCACCTCATCAGGAGCATGCCCAGGCGTTGTAGGGAGGTCATACAGGCACGTGGAGGCCACACACACTACTGAGACTCATTTTGACTTGTTTTAAGGACATTACATCAAAGTTGGATCAGCCTGTAGTGTGGTTTTCCACTTTAATTTTGAGTGTGACTCCAAATCCAGACCTCCATGGGTTGATACATTTGACTTCCATTGATAATTTTTGTGTGATTTTGTTGTCAGCACATTCAACTATGTAAAGAAAAAAGTATTTAATAAGATTATTTCATTCATTCAGATCTAGGACGTATTATTTTAGTGTTCCCTTAATTTTTTTGAGCAGTGTATAAAGGATATTTAATGCCGGAAACTTCAAATTAAACACCAATGGTACTCACTAGGTTGATGGTTTATATTTACGATAATGTTTTACTTCTTTTTAAATCATCTTATTTGATTATTTTATATATTTTAAATGTGATAAGGCCACACAGAGCGCTAATCTGTGATAATCTGAAGTACCCAAAAAGGCCACTACATGTGGTGATAAAATTCCATAAAATCCTTGAAAGTTAAAACAATTCTGGTACTACAGGTTAACTATAAAAGTTAAACAGTAATAAACCCACCCTTTGCAACCCTATACACAATATACAAAGCAGTATGTGTGGTTTGTGTGATTTTGTGTGCCTGTGTGTGTATATACAGGTGTATGTGTACTTACGCAGATCCATGGGTGTTTGAGAGCCTGATCAGCAGTGATTCTCTTGGAAGGGTTAATAGTCAACATCTGGTTAATCAGGTTCTTAGCCTCTGGAGTAACAGTGTCCCATTCTGGAGAGGGAAACTAGAGAGAGAGCGAGATATATAAACTCAGCAAAAAAAGAAACGGTTTTTTTTTCAGGACCCGGTCTTTCAAAGATAATTAGTAAAAATCCAAATAACTTCACAGATCTTCATTGTAAAGGGTTTAAACACTGTTTCCCATGCTTGTTCAATGAACCATAAACAATTAATGAACATACACCTGTGGAACGGTCGTTAAGACACTAACAGCTTACAGACAGTAGGCAATTAAGGTCACAGTTACGATAATTTAGGACACTAAAGAGGCCTTTCTACTGACTCTGGAAAAACACCAAAAGAAAGATGCCCAGGGTCCCTACTCATCTGCGTGAACGTGCCTTAGGCATGCTGCAAGGAGGCATGAGGACTGCAGATGTGGCCAGGGCAATAAATTGCAATGTCCGTACTGTGAGACGCCTAAGACAGCGCTACAGGGAGACAGGACGGACGGCTGATCGTCCTCGCAGTGGCAGACCACGTGTAACAACACCTGCACAGGATTGGTACATCCGAACATCACACCTGCGGGACAGGTACAGGATGGCAACAACAACTGCCCGAGTTACACCAGGAACGCACAATGCCTCCATCAGTGCTCAGACTGTCCACAATAGGCTGAGAGAGGCTGGACTGAGGGCTTGCAGGCCTGTTGTAAGGCAGGTCCTCACCAGACATCACCGGCAACAACGTCACCTATGGGCACAAACCCACCGTCACTGGACCAGACATGACTGGCAAAGAGTGCTCTTCACTGACGAGTTGCGGTTTTGTCTCACCAGGGGTGATGGTCGGATTCGCGTTTATCGTTGAAGGAATGAGCGTTACACCGAGGCCTGTACTCTGGAGCGGGATCGATTTGGAGGTGGAGGGTCCGTCATGGTCTGGGGCAGTGTGTCACAGCATCATCAGACTGAGCTTGTTGTCATTGCAGGCAATCTCAACGCTGTGCGTTACAGGGAAGACATCCTCCTCCCTCATGTGGTACCCTTCCTGCAGGCTCATCCTGACATGACCCTCCAGCATGAAATGCCACATGCCATACTGCTCGTTCTGTGCGTGATTTCCTGCAAGACAGGAATGTCAGTGTTCTGCCATGGCCAGCGAAGAGCCCGGATCTCAATTCCATTGAGCACGTCTCGGACCTGTTGGATCGGAGGGTGAGGGCTAGGGCCATTCCCACCCAGAAATGTCCAGGAACTTGCAGGTGCCTTGGTGGAAGAGTGGGGTAACATCTCACAGCAAGAACTGTCAAATCTGGTGCAGTCCATGAGGAGGAGATGCACTGCAGTACTTAATGCAGCTGGTGGCCACACCAGATGTTGACTGTTACTTTTGATTTTGACCCCCCCCTTTGTTCAGGGACACATTATTCAATTTCTGTTAGTCACATGTCTGTGGAACTTGTTCAGTTTATGTCTCAGTTGTTGAATCTCGTTATGTTCATACAAATATTTACACATGTTAAGTTTGCTGAAAATAAACGCAGTTGACAGTGAGGGACGTTTCTTTTTTTGCTGAGTTTATATATGGAGAGAGGGACATAAATACAGAGACCATCATTTGCATTATGTACGTAACACAAATGTACTTCACCATGTTTCATATCATGTAAACAATAAGTCTTCCTACAACTCAGAATGATAATAGACTCATGAAAATGAACAAACACAGATTGTGTGTGTGTGTGTGTGTGTGTGTATGAATGTCTGCCATGTTAAATCTCAGTACCAGTCTTCATTAACTGTGTAACCTGAATACTAGAGACAAGGAGAGGATACCCCCTTACACACAAGCACACACCCCTCTGCAATGCGTCAGGAGGCTGATAGGATCAATAGCTGGGGTGCAGCTCTCAATCGGACACTATTAAAAATTCACCAGCCAACCTCTAAACTTCACCCTACACACACACACAAGCAAACACACACAGACTCACATCATAGGCCCCAGCCTTGATCTGCTGGTAGAGTTTGTGTTGGTCTTCATCCCAGAATGGAGGATAGCCAACCAACAAGATATACAGAATAACACCTAGAGAGAGAGAGAGAGAGAGAGAGAGAGACCAAGAGAAAGACAGAAAAAGAGAGAGCGTTTAAATTGGTTAGATTTTCTGTAAATGATCTCTGCACCATAGCCCATCTTTAGATTGCTATAGCCGGGTTGGTTGTTTAGCAACCAAACAGAGGTGTGCGTAACTGTGGGGCAAAACAGACAGGGTTGGCTTAGACTGTTGACAATATGTAACCTATATTTAGTCTCCAAATGTTTATTGAAAACATACAGTTGCACAATGAGCACTTGTCTCAAATACATCGTTACAGTTGTTGGTTATCTAGCTTGCTAATTTTAGCCATATTAGTATTGACATTAATTCAGTCAGAACACCTAAAAACAAGACATGGTATCAATAACAAGATAAAACTAGCTGAAACGAGCCACCTACGATTCCCCACATGGCAGCTTCTTGTCATTGTTGCTAGCTACATGATCGGACTGTTCATCGATGCGCGCGCATATCATTTTCGTGACGTTGTCAGCCAACCCATCTATTTGTTCTTCACCTACAGTTAGAGGTTAAAGGTTAAAGGCTCACCACAGGCCCATATGTCCACAGGCTTGCCATAGGGGTCCTTCCTCAGGACCTCAGGGGAAAGGTAGCCAGGGGTGCCTGCGAAACCTGCCAGGCAGAAAAAAACAAAAACAGATGGTTACCCAAATATACACAAAGTGTACAAAACATGAACAACATCTTACTAATATTGAGTTGCACCCCCCCCCCCACCCACCCACCCCGTTGGCTGGTTGTCCATTCTTGATACACATGGGAAACTGTTGAGCGTGAAAAACCCAGCAGCAGTTCTTGACACAAACCGGTGGGCCTGGCACCTACTACCACACCCCATTCAAAGGCACTTAAATCTTCTGTCTTGCCCATTCACCCTCTAAATGGCACACATACACAATCCATGTCTCAATTGTCTCAAGGTTTAAAAATCCTTCTTTAACCTGTCTCCTCCCCTACATCTACACTGATTGAATTGGATTAAAAAAGTGACATCAATAAGGGATCATAGCTTTCACCTGGATTTACCTGGTCAGTCTATGTCATGGATAGAGTTCATAATGTTTGGTGCACTCAGTGTTTGTTTTTATGACATATTTCCCATAAGAGTGTGTATGTGTGGTCTTACCGAACCATGCCTGTTGGTCTCCCTGCACCTCGATGGCCAGGCCAAAGTCTGCCAGCTTCACCGCTGCTCCCTTCATCTTACTGGCCAGCAATAGGTTCTCAGGCTGAAGGGGTGGAGAGAGAAAGTTTGTGTGTGTAAAGGGGGGTAGAAAGAGATATGGAGAGGGAAAGAGATGCATTTGTCTATATGTAAGCACATATGTGCTTCGAACTCTTCTGCTTTGGCAATATTTACACATCCATATCACGTCAATAAAGATTATTATTAAATTCAGTTGGGAGAGAAGAAAAACAAAAAAAGAGGGGGGGGGGGGGGGGGGCAGTAAAGAGAGAAGAGAAATAAAGGAGGAAGAGAAGGAGTAAAAATGTGTTTGTGATTGTCTTATGTAGCTAGTTAAATCAAGTGTTGAGGTTGCTGCATTAGAAATGTGAGTACTTTTCAACCGCAATAGTGGCAAAATGTGATATTCAGCACCGGATCACATTACCACGAAACCTGGCATTCAGGGTCACAGACTTGTTTTAGCGTCTGTCTGGTGAAGTTCCAGGGAGAATCGAATCGTAAGAACATACAGTAAATATGCTACGGAAGTGATGTTACTTTATTTAAAAACCTACCAACAAAAGGAAATATTGTTCTCCAGTGATTAATTGAAATACTTAATCAAGCCCTGCAAGTTATTGAATACCGAAACAGATACACAAGTATTATAATGCAAACAGAAGATTTGATTGTCATCAATATTTATTACACTGCTTTAACTACACTGAAAAAATATATACAAATGCAAGATAATAAAAGATACCAGACATTTTCCATATGTTCAAAAAGCTTATTTCTCTCAAATGTTTTGCACAAATTTGTTTATATCTTTGTTAGTGAACATTTATAGAGAAATGAACATTCTGGTGGACATTCCTGCAGTCAGCATGCCAATAGCACGCTCCCTCAAAACTTGAGATATCTGTGGCATTGTGTTGTGTGACAAAACTGTACATTTTAGAGTGGCCTTTTATTGTCCCCAGCACAAGGTGCACCTGTGTAATGATCATGCTGTTTAATCAGCTTCTTGATATGCCACACCTGTCAAGTGGATAAAATATATTGGCAAATGAGAAAGCTCACTTACAGGGATGTAAACAAATTTGTGCACAAACCTTGAGAGAAAAACATTTTTGTATTAATAAAAACATTTGTTCATATGGAAAATTTCTGGTGTATTTTATTTCAGCTCATGAAACATGGGACCAACACTTTACATGTTGCGTTTATATATAAATATAGATTTTTTCATTAGTCCACTGTTGATACAGTCCTAAAAGTATGATGCATTTTACATCATGATGATGATGATGATGATGATGATGATGGAGGCCGGTGACACTTTGCTTCTTGAAAGTTCAATATCTTCAAAACTTCACTGCCGACATGCAAAACATTTTGAGACTGTATCAATAGTGGATTAATTTACAAAATACCAAAATATCGTTTTGGGACTTTATTTTAACAAACCTAACGCAATGGTAAATCTAAGCGCAGGCGGTAGTGCTATAGGTTCAGGGGGGTGTAAGAAATATTTGTGCTATTTTCACTACCACAATTATCAGCGCACTTGCTAGCATTGGCCCGAAAGGGCTGGGTTTTGATGAATAAACAAGTGGTGGGTGTGTCAAGGCTTAGCCCCTCCCTGGCCAATCAGAACGTGCTCCATGGCGAAATATGTGTTTGCTTCAAATTGTGAATTTTGGTATTTAATGTACAGTGGGGGGAAAAAAGTATTTAGTCAGCCACCAATTGTGCAAGTTCTCCCACTTAAAAAGATGAGAGAGGCCTGTAATTTTCATCATAGGTACACGTCAACTATGACAGACAAATTGAGAAAAAGAAAATCCAGAAAATCACATTGTAGGATTTTTTATGAATTTATTTGCAATTTATGGTGGAAAATAAGTATTTGGTCACCTACAAACAAGCAAGATTTCTGGCTCTCACAGACCTGTAACTTCTTCTTTAAGAGGCTCCTCTGTCCTCCACTCGTTACCTGTATTAATGGCACCTGTTTGAACTTGTTATCAGTATAAAAGACACCTGTCCACAACCTCAAACAGTCACACTCCAAACTCCACTATGGCCAAGACCAAAGAGCTGTCAAAGGACACCAGAAACAAAATTGTAGACCTGCACCAGGCTGGGAAGACTGAATCTGCAATAGGTAAGCAGCTTGGTTTGAAGAAATCAACTGTGGGAGCAATTATTAGGAAATGGAAGACATACAAGACATACAAGACCACTGATAATCTCCCTCGATCTGGGGCTCCACGCAAGATCTCACCCCGTGGTGTCAAAATGATCACAAGAACGGTGAGCAAAAATCCCAGAACCACACAGGGGGACCTAGTGAATGACCTGCAGAGAGCTGGGACCAAAGTAACAAAGCCTACCATCAGTAACACACTACGCCGCCAGGGACTCAAATCCTGCAGTGTAAGACGTGTCCCCCTGCTTAAGCCAGTACATGTCCAGGCCCATCTGAAGTTTGCTAGAGTGCATTTGGATGATCCAGAAGAGGATTGGGAGAATGGAATCCAAGATGGCGAAGTAGTGCAGTTCTGTTTTTGTCGTGTGTCTGTAAATACCCTGTTTTTTTGTATTTTTCGTACATATTTCCCTATCAGACTTTTCATCCTTCTACAAAATATACTTTCCTGCAACCCGCCTCACTCAATGTGGAACGGATTCTATTATTGACTTACCTTTTATATAGAATCTCTAGTTGAAACTAGCTAGCCAGCTAACTAGCTACTTGCTATTAGCCACAGTTAGCGGTATTTCACCCAGAACATTGGATTTTTTTTTTCTGCGGGATTAATTTAATCACTGGATATTAATCACCGGATATTAATCACCGGATATTCGGCCAGTCTGCACAGCGCGTTATCGACCCAGAACATATCAGTTTTTCTGCCGGAATCACTGAATCACTGGACCTTTAACTCCGGATTCATCGCTACCAGCTAGCTTCAACTAAATGGACGCTGTGGTCTGGCTAATCATCCTGAGCTAGGCCCATCTCCCGGCTATCTACCTCTCTGTCAACCGGACGGGACCACCTAGTGTTGACACGGAGCCCCGCCGATCCTACACGACTGGTCTGCCGACGAAATCGTCTGATGTGGTTACGACGACGTCGACCACGAAGATTCCATCTGCTAGCCCCGGCCCGCTAGCACACGCTAGCCGTGGCCTCTTACCTGCTAGTGCTTTAGCAGCCTCCGAACTATCCTATTGCTGTTCACCGGACCTTATGATAACTCAGCTTTACAGCTGATGTCTGCTGGACTGTTCCTTTTTACGGTACTACATCCTGTTTATGTTTAGCCTCAGCCCAAACATGGTTAGCTTATTGTTGTTTCGGTTATTTCTAATTGTACTATTTCACTGTAGATCCCCCAGCCCAGCTAAACCTGCCTTAGATAGCTCCTTTGTCCCACCCCCCATACACGCAGAGACCGACTCAATTGGTGCCTCTAGTGATACTATCTCTTTCATTGTTACCCAACGCTTAGGTTTACCCCCACTTTACTCATATCCTTCCATATCCTTGTCTGTACATAATGCCCTGAATCTTTTCTACAACACCCGGAAATCTGCCCCCTTTATTCTATGTACCCAACGCACTAGAAGACCAGTTCTTAAAGCCTTTAGCCGTATCCTTATTCTAGCCCTCCTCTGTTCCTCTGGTGATGTAGAGGCTAACCCAGGCCCTGCAGCCCTCAGAATCACTCCTACTCCCCAGGCACTATCATTTGCTGACTTCTGTAATCGCAAAAGTCTTGGTTTCTTGCACGTAAACATCAGAAGTCTACTTCCTAAGTTTGAGTTATTCACTGCGTTAGCACACTCCGCCAACCCTGATGTTCTAGCAGTGTCTGAATCCTGGCTCAGGAAGGCCACCAAAAATTCTGAAATTTCCATCCCCAACTATAACATTTTCCGTCTAGATAGAACTGCCAAAGGGGGTGGAGTTGCAATCTACTGTAGAGATAGCCTGCAGAGCTCTATCATACTATCCAGGTCTGTGCCCAAACAGTTTGCGCTTCTACTTCTAAAAATCCACCTTTCCAGAAATAAGTCTCTCACTGTTGCCGCTTGCTACAGACCCCCCTCAGTCCCCAGATGTGCCCTGGACACCATATGTGAATTGATTGCCCCCCATTTATCCTCAGCGTTCGTACTGCTTGGTGACCTAAATTGGGATATGCTTAATACCCCGGCCATCCTACAATCCAAACTAGATGCCCTCAACCTCACGCAAATTATCAACGAACCTACCAGGTACAACCCTAAATCCGTAAACATGGGTACCCTCATAGATATCATCCTGACTAACATACCCTCTAAATACACCTCAGCTGTCTTCAACCAGGATCTCAGCGATCACTGCCTTATTGCCTGCGTCCGTAACGGGTCCGCGGTCAAACGACCACCCCTCATCACTGTCAAACGCTCCCTAAAACACTTTAGCGAGCAGGCCTTCCTAATTGACCTGGCCCAGGTATCCTGGATGGATATAGATCTCATTCCGTCAGTAGAGGATGCCTGGTTGTTCCTTAAAAGTAATTTCCTCTCAATCTTAAATAAACATGCCCCATTCAAAAAATACAGAACTAAGAACCGATATAGCCCCTGGTTCTCCTCAGACTTGACTGCCCTTGACCAGCACAAAAACATCCTGTGGCGTACTGCATTAGCATCAAATAGCCCCCGCGATATGCAACTTTTCAGGGAAGTTAGGAACCAATATACACAAGCAGTCAGGAAAGCAAAGGCAAACTTTTTCAAACAGAAATGTGCATCCTGTAGCACTAACTCCAAAAGGTTTTGGGACACTGTAAAGTCCATGGAGAATAAGAGCACTTCCTCCCAGTTGCCCACTGCACTGAGGCTAGGAAACACTATCACCACCGATAAATCTACAATAATCGAGAATTTCAACAAGCATTTTGCTACAGCTGGCCATGCTTTCCATCTGGCTACCACTACCCCGGCCACCAACTCTGCACCCTCCGCTGAAACTTGCCCATGCCCCCCCCCCGCTTCTCC